ACCTAATGCTTGATGTTCTAAATTACAATGCCAGCAACATTCATTTGGTCAAAATAACGTATCCTGAGTACTGTCATTCCGAATTCAACTGTGTCCACATGGGAAATATCATTAGTAAGGTGGAGGTGGATCACAATGGAGTTGTTCGAAGTGCCAAAGCAATGAGACTTTTTTATTATCTGCAAGAGAGCAATACTTCACTGGAAGATGCCTGGCTTCAAGAATTGGTAGACTTGCTCTCTAATGTAACGACCTCTGTATCAGAAGTAAGTATCTTTGTAGTCAATATTGGTTTGAACATTTGAATCTGTGTATGTACAGTTGAGGTCAAACGTTTACATATACACCTTGCAGAACTTGAATCTTCTGTAATAGTTGCATACGAGTCCCTCAGTTGTCCTCAGTGTGAAAAGATGGATCTCAAAATCATACAGTCATTGCTGGAAAGGGTTCAAATACACAAAGATGCTGAAAAACCAAAGAATTTGTTGGACTTGACGGATTTTTCTGAAGAACAGCAGGCAGTTTAACTGTTCAGGACAAACGAGGGACTAATGAAACAAATTAGTGGTTGCCAGAACTTCACCGTAAAAAATATGGTAGCAACATTTTAGGTGTCATGCAGGGAATTCTGGGAGTGTCAGTTTACGGTTTGTCACTGTAAATTATACAATTACTTTTTCACTTCCAAAAACCGTATTTTTAAGTAGTATTTTACTGTAAAATTACATTAAATGTAATTACATTTATTCACCGAATATAGTATGGAAACTTACTGTTAACAGGTTTTTACTGTAGCATTTTTACAGTCTTTTACTGTTAAATCACAATAATTTTTTACAGTGTGGATCATCCAGGTAACAAAACAGTATTAAGAATCAAGCGTATGTAAACCTTTGAACGGGGTAATTTTTATAAATTCAACTATTATTTTCTCTTGTGGACTATATGTAAACGTCACTTATGTGCAATATCCTATTCAGGTCAGTACTAAATAAAAAAATAACATGCATTTTGTTTGATCCCTCTTATTTTGGTAAAATAATGAACATTTAGCAGATTCTGGAAGTATGTACCGTAAACTTTTGATCTCAACTGTATGACCATTGTGTTAAAAATGTGTAAATGTTTCCCTGTTTTGAATCTTCTATTAAATTACATATAAACATGCCCAGTAAATTTAAGAACTACTAAGAATGCTACATGAAAGATTAATTTGGAAAATCTAAAATGACATAGTCATGAACTCAATCATAATAACATTATCACTCTTGTCAATTTTTATAAATTACGGAGCACATTAATGTTGCTAAATATTTTTGCACGTTATGAAAGTGCTTAACCCTTTGCATATATAGTGGCTTCAAAAGGTAGAAACTTCAGCCACACTTAAGGCATTGCATCATATGTATACAATCAAGTGCCATTTGCAAACATTTTGTGAAATGTTTATAATAAATGCCAAATGGTTTGGGCATTCATACATTAATTTTGTATTTAGGGGGGTTTCTGTATCTCATACCGTGATTCTTAGTCTAATCAATCTTAAGTATGTGACTAAATGAAAAGTTTTAATGATAATTATTTTTCTCAGGTATCCTATTTCACATCCATGTCAAGACAACAGGAGTTTGAGAAGAGTACCCTATCTGTCACTGAACTTTTTGCAATTACTTATTTTCTTGCCATCTCATTTTCAATAATATCTTGCCTGAGGTTTGTGAAATACTGATCATGAACTAAAAAAAAATCTTTCAGATTGCAAATCTGATAATAATTGCAAATATGTATGCATTATTTCATTTCTCTCATCAGGTTTGATAATGTGAGGAATAAAGCATGGGTGGCTTCTCTTGGAGTTTTCTCCACTGCACAAGCTGTGCTGTCCAGCTTTGGGTTGCTGTTACTCATAAAGGTGCCATTTGTTATTACTGTGGCATCTTCTCCATTCCTTATTCTTGGTAAGATACTGTGTCTTAGATCATTTTTATTATGTTTACTGTTTTGAACTTAATCAACCCTACAGTTGGTACAGGATGGTGGTAGTAACAGCAAGGTTGCAAATCTGATTTCCAGGTTACAGGTGCAGCAGAAATACATTGGTCCCCAAACTAGTGTTACCTGAATAACTATTTAGTAATACACATTTCCATTCTAAAGTCTTGCTGCAAATCATCTATATTTTATAATATAGCCCAAAAATAATATTTAGAGTATTTAAATGCACTGAAACAATTTTTAACATTTTGAAGCAAAGCTCACTATTAGAAGACTTTTTGGGCAGAAAAATGCTTAATTTAAGAATTTACACGGTTTTATACATGTAAAACTGACCAATATGCATGATATATATTTTGAGACATGGTCAGATTTTCAATGCTATATAGGACATACAGCTTTATTTATGATGGGTTCTTTCTAAATATGGCCATGTGATTTAAAAAAAAGGTGCTAGGGGGTGGCACATCTTACCCCACATGCTGTAAGTCGCATTGGATAAAAGGGTCAAAAGGCATAAATGCAAATGCATTGCAAATTCTACAGAACTGACACGTTTTAATTTCAAGATGTAAAACTGTTTTTTTTTAGGAATCGGTATCGATGACATGTTTATCATGATCTCCAGCTGGCAACGGACCAACATTCAAGACACAGTGCCTAAACGCATGGCTGATACCTACAGGGAGGCAGCCGTTTCCATTACTATCACCACCCTGACTGACGTGCTAGCCTTCTACCTCAGCTACGGCAACCCTTTCGGCTCTGTTCAGTCATTCTGTCTGTACGCAGGCACGGCTGTCTTGTTCTGCTACTTCTATAACATCACTTTCTTTGGAGCTTGTCTGGCTCTGAATGGCAGAAGGGAGGGGGCGAACAGACACTGGTTAACTTGCATGAAGGTCCCAGAAGAGGTCCCACCAGGACGGTCTAAAGTGTATACTCTGTGCTGTGTTGGAGGATCTTACGACCATAACACAGGAACCGAGGAAGAGCACCCAATGACACTGTTCTTCAGGAAGTATTATGGACCATTTTTGACAACTGTTTGGAGTAAAGCATTAGTAATTTTTATTTACGGAACATACATTGCTGTTAGTGTTTATGGCTGCTTGCAACTTAAGGAAGGCATTGATCTCAAGAACCTAGCACTTGATAAATCGTACATCGTCCAATACTACAAAGCTGAAAAGACATACTTTGATTATTATGGTCCAAATGTAATGTTAGCCATCAACGGCACATTTCCATATTGGGAGGAGAGCAAACGCAATCAACTCGAGTCGTGTATTGTACGGTTTCAGGAGTTGAAGTTTGTCAACAACTTGTCAACATCTTGGCTTCATTCCTTTGAAAAGTATGCAGAGGAACACAGTAATAACATCAGCTCAGAAGGTCAATTTAAAACACATCTTTATCAGTTCCTGGACCACCAACCAATGCTCAGACAGGATGTCAACATATCCAATAACGACATAACTGCTTCACGTCTGTTTCTTCAGACAGTTGTTCAGAATTCAACAGAAAAGAGCGTGTTGAACTCACTACGGAAGACAGCAGAGAGCTGCCCATGTCCACTGTTGATCTACCATCCAGCGTTTATATATCATGATCAATATACAGTAATAGGGCATATCACTCTTCAGACCGTCATTGTGGCAACCCTAGTAATGCTGGTCATCTCCCTTGTGCTGATTCCAAATCCTCTTTGTGCCTTGTGGGTGGCCTTTGCCATCGCTTCAGTCATTTTGGGAGTCACCGGCTTCATGGCACTGCTAGACATTAGTCTTGATTCAATCTCAATGATAAACCTGGTCATTAGCATCGGCTTTTCTGTGGACTTTTCTGCTCATATCTCCTACACATTTGTGTCCAGTTCTAAGCCCGATGTGAATGAAAGAGTTGTGGAGGCCATGGCACACCTGGGTTACCCCATACTTCAAGGGGCTCTGTCTACAATTGTGGGTGTGGTTGTGCTATCAGCTTCCAGCAGCTACATATTCAGAACGTTCTCCACCATTGTGGTCCTAGTCATTACTTTTGGGCTGCTTCATGGCATTGCTTTTATTCCAGTATTTCTAACTTTCTTTGGATTTTGCCACAAATTATGGCAGCACTGAATTCAAAAATCCAACTTCTGCTTTTTCTTCAAATGTCCGCCTTGTAAAATTAACATTCTATTGAAAAAGAGAAAAAAAAGACAATTTCTTGTAGTTGCTTTTAAAGCACTTACAAGCATGTTTAAACTATAGTCAACGCAGATTTTCAAGCATGCGTTTTAAATGTTTTCCACATAAATATTATCCCAGAATTGTGCAAAAAAAGTAATGGAGTTGTAATTCATAGCAAGTAACTGTAATATGATTACAGTAACATGTAACCTGTAGATTGTCATATTGAAATGTTAACATTTTTAATAAAACCCAAGTGATTTCTGTTCCTCCACTGAAAGTCTGTTTAGCATATTTTGATGTGATTATATATGTGCTTTTGTCAGTGTTAATATGTGAATAAAAGCCTAAACTAATTCTGTTTAAAGTGTTTTTTTTTTACAATCTATTAATGAACCTGTTAAACTGTCAAAACGTCGGGTGAATGGACTTTAAATGGAGGGACAGAAATCTTGGATTTCATTAAAAACATCTCGATTTGTGTTTCAAAAATGAACGAAAGTCTTGAAAATGTCATAAGCGAGTAATTGATGTCTAGCTCCATCAAAAAATGAAAACGGTGTCATTTTAACTCTGGCTCCTAGAAGAAATCTAATTACTTTTTAAAGCAAAGAGACTTCACTGGGTGAAAATCCTCATACTTTTCATTTGGGCCAGTAAGCAACCATTTAGAACACCCTAGCAACCACATATCAACATGCTAAGAACCGCTCCTTAGCAATATCCTACATCATGGCACCAACTTTTTTAGTTTAGACTTGTTTGGTTGTGTAATATGTTCTTGCAATGCAGAAGTTGTCACAGTACATGAAAACAACAATTATGCAGAGTTATGTTTCCTTTATTCAGTTCAACTCCCATTTGTGTGTAACAGCATCAAAAGAAAAATAATTTTAAATGACAAACCAGGCAGAACTCAGACTAAAATCAATCTAATACACTTACATACAATACCCTCATTTTGAATTTTATCGATTATAAATCTATACTGTATATACACAACTAAAACGAGCTTGGGTAAAAGGCAAACATACATGGAGGCAAGGTAAACTCATAAATGTAGAGCTACTGTACATGAATAAATAATGTGTAGAATAACGCTGAATAAACCCAGTTTAGCCACTGGAACTAGAGAAATGAATATCAAATATAAAATTTGAATGAATATTACATTTAGTCTCTCTTTTGTTTAATGATTAATGAAAGTGCAGAAATAGAGCTCACACTACAGGAGTTCACTGATCACTGATCCACTTGGAATTTCTTGTCAAAGTTTATCTAACAACATACTTGGGTTCTGATGTATTGACTTGCTGTGACTAAAACTTTTTGAAGCAGCATTGTTCACAAGCCGATATTATGATATGCATCACACAAACAAACATAAATGTCCCAGTACCAAAGTGCTTCGATATATTCCCTCAGTGAAAAATATATTCCCATACATTTCTCAAAGGTCACCATGAAACATATGCTCAGCCTGGCTCAGACAACGGTGTCAGAAACAATGAACAGCAATTTGTTCCTAACTTTATAGTAAACTGGACTGGTGCTTACAGCTTAATGATTTATTCAAAATTGTCTTCTGCTCCACTTCAAATAAGGCAGCACCCTAAAGTCAATGGTACAGAAAAACACTTAAATAGATACTAAATGAGTTGAATTCTCATATAATTTATTTGGAAGAAAATCCCAAGCATGTAAAACTGAAACTAATTTTAGAGATCTGGCTCAGGAAAAAATACATCTTTACCAATGGGGAGTGTCGGCCTACCAAGCTCTTGGTTGCATATGTACATTCATGTCTTTTAGAGTTTCATTGTCCTTTCCCTGCTGCCTGAAGTCCCTGGTGAGCCCTCATCTGCTTTCTAATGTCTTTCCCTCTAAGACCAGCTGGATCTCTTTGGCATCCAATGTCTCATACCGCAGTAAAGCCTCAGCAAGATTTTTGTGCTCCTTAGCACGAGACTTCAGGAGGACTTTAGCACGCTCGTAGGAATCCTAGGAGCATTCAAAGAAATATGTGAGCCAAAAACTGGACAAATTGGTAGCTGGTATTAAGAAATGTTAAGAAAAGTGCAGGCTGTTGAGTGCTTAAAAATGCAATGTTGTAGTACTGATTTGAGGATAGAATTAGATCAGAACAAAGTTTACCCTCAGAAGTATCCTGACTTCATGTTCAATGGCTGCCTGAGTTTCTGGGCTCTGCTTGGTGAGGTCAGCATATGTCATCACACCCAACTAATAACAAAAAAAGAATGACACAAAAATCAAAGAGTCAATGAAAAAAAAAATTATATAAAACTATTTTTTAAAACCTGGCAAGCTGCCTTGCTTTCTACTGAATCCTAACTGTCATGGAAACTCAAGCGACATGTGAAATAGTTTAGTACAGTGACAAAATTAGTAAATAACATGCAAGTTGTTTCATAACATTTCCCATTTAATATTTTTCCTTACACAACATAAACAGGTCTTTATGCATGACAATAAGGGTTCATGATATTTGATATTCAATAAGTTTGAATACAACCAACTCTTTAAACAGAAAAGTAAATAAAGTCTGACAATAATATCCATATATACACATGTATATTCAGTGCGCAAAGACAATTTGCTAAATATGACGAACCTTTTCACTCATGCCAAATCTGGTCACCATCATTTTGGCTATTTTTGTAGCGCTGTCAAAATCACTTGATGCTCCTATGTGAATATAACAAAACATTACACAGATGAAAAACAGAAATAAGCGATTAGCATAATTTTGTTACATTTACTAATTCATGCAGTGTCCTCTCACGTATTTGAAAAATGTGATGTACAATAAACATTCATACTTACAGCCAAGTCATTCTTATAATATAATCATATAGTCTTTCATCTTACACAATACACAAACGATTTGAATGACACTGCAACACCAGAGCAAACAGTACCGCAACATACCAGTGGTGATATTCTCACTGCCAAAGATGAGCTCTTCAGCCACTCGGCCGCCCATGCTGACGTCCATCTGGGCCAGAAGTTGAGCACGAGTTTCACTCCAGCGGTCATTCTCTGGGAGCATGGACACCTAACAGAGAAGACAACAAAAATACTGGCACTATTAAGGCTGACTGTCTCTCACTTGAAAAATAAACAAGCAGCTCATCTCTCTAAAATATTCTAAACCTGACTTTACAATTTCAACCCAAACTGAAGAGATGAGCCCTTTCAAAATAGAGATTCTCATAATCAATTAAAATGTACTCACATGACCCAAAGTTGGGCCTCTCGGCATAATAGTGGCTTTATTTATGGGCATGGCATCTTTGGTGTAGTATGCAATAATAGCATGGCCTGACTCGTGGTACGCTGTGATCTCTTTATTCTTCTTGTCAATCTCTGCACTCCTGCGTTCTGGCCCTGCAGAGGGGGAAAGTGAATGGAAAACAAGTGATGCACCAACAATTCAGCAATTGAAAATATTCAATCGAAACAGCAAAAAAAAATAAAAATAAATTCAGTTTCAGCCGAAATGGTTAGGAGGGCCAAACATTTGCACTTTTCTGATGGCGCACACTGTGTCAGCATCTATTTGTGACCCTGGACCACAAAACCAGTCACATTATCACATTATCTGAAAGCTCAATAAACAAGCTTTCCATTGATGTATGATTTGTTAAGATAGGATAATATTTGGCCGAGATACATAGATTTTACTATTTGAAAATCTGGAATCTGAGGGTGCAAAAAAATCTAAATATTGAGAAAATCGCCTTTTAAGTTGTCCAAATGAAGTTCTTAGCAATGCATATTACTAATCAAAAATTAAGTTTTAATATATTTACAGTAGGAAATGTACAAAATATATTCACGGAACATGATCTTTACTTAATATCCTAATGATTTTTGGCATAAAAGAAAAATCAATAATTTTGACCCATACAATGTATTTTTGGCTATTGCTACAAATATAACCCAGCGACTTAAGACTGGTTTTGTGGTCTAGGGTCACATTTCATACACACGATGTGAATAAGCTGCAACAAGTAAACATGTCAGAATGGACAACCGAACAGCTTTACTATGACTGGTTTCATTTATCGAGTACACGACACCCTGAACCACATACAGAGCTCAGTTACCCAGTTGCCCAAATTTAAAACTTTATTTTTAGTTCGGTGTTTCTGCCAAAAAGTTATTTTTGGTGCATCACTATGAAAATGTAGAGGTTTTATTGTCTAATATGAGCAGCAAAGTTTATTTCAGCATGCAGAATAAGTTACAGGTACCTACCCATCAGTATTTTGTCCTTCGCAAACTCCAACTCCTTCATGGTCACCATGTCTTTACCATCCACAGCTGCCTTTAGTGCGGACTGATTAACAAGATTCTCCAGATCGGCTCCAGAGAACCCCACCGTTCCTCTAGCAATGATCTCTGCCTCCACAGCTAATGACCAGAAAATACAATAATCCTTAAGAACAATTACTTTACTTGCTGTACTATTACTTTTTTACCTTTCAACATTAATAGTTCAGAATCTAATAGGTACATTTGAAAATTAATCTTTAACAGACCACTTACCAGAGTCGACTTTAATTTTTTTAAGGTACCACTTGAGGATTTCAGTGCGGCCCTTCACATCTGGTATGGGGACAGTGACCTGCATATCAAAACGGCCTGGCCGGATCAGAGCACTGGGGAACAAGATTCAGATTTTCTTACCAATCAGCAACATTATATAAAAAAAAATAACTGTCAAACAAGCAGGCTTTTGTCTTTAGATATTTGAAATGCAATCTACGTACTTATCCAAAGCTTCAGCGAAGTTTGTTGCTCCAATTATGATGACACCTTCATTTGGCTTGAACCTACATATGTTAAACACCGAAAGTTAGTGAAAGAAACTTACAAACCTTTCACTCAAACGAGTGCAGTCAAAAGTTGCAATGGAGTCACTTTGAGTAGCACAGCTCACCCATCCATCTCTGCTAGAAGCTGATTGATTGTCTGTCTAGAATAGGGGTGCATAGGGGACTCAATCCTCTTTCCTCCAACACTATCCAGCTCATCAATGAAGATAACACAAGGAGCGTTAGCTTTAGCTTCCCCTACAGGACAAATGCAGGAGAACTGCTTTAATACATACATACATACATACATACAATGACTCATTCACACTTTTGGTTACTTAGGCCTTGGCGATAAAACGGTATCAATATTTATCGACGGTACACCTTCTTCAATGACGATATAAAAAATGTTCGATATAGTGCACGATATAGGCACGTGCTATGAGTGACGCAGACAGCACACACAAACACGAACACATGCTGAAATGA